GTAAGGACGTCTTGAAATGAAGTATCAAATAATCTAAAATATTTTCCATGGTGTAGAGTTTAGTTGTCATAATGCATGTATTTTTGATCCAATCCACGACATGCAAAACTCAATGAATTAAATGACGTCATAGCACCTCCCATGTATGCCATATCTCGCTAGTTTCACTTTAGACAGGATACTTGAAGCAGGTAGTGTTTTTACCATGGCTAGTAACACTGAGTTACAGTCTGGATACGATTATCAATTTGTCGTACAAGTACCTGAAGACTACATTTGTAGTATTTGTCATCTTGCAATGCGAAAACCCGTACAGACAAGATGTGGACATCGATTTTGTAAGGATTGTTTGGACGCAGCCTTACAGAGGTCAGTAGGAAATAGATTTGAAAAGATAAACTCTTTTAAAAACTGTTGAATMATTGACATTTATWGCGAAAAAAAAMCYYMAMSRAWTTWWYSGKWAAWTTTWATCGATATTGAGRCTGAAATAAATTGAATTACCAGTCAACTACAAACCTAATTAGAAAAGTTCGACAAACTTTCTTCAAGAGGGCTTGAAAGTAAATTAATGTGCAGTAAGTAAGATTTCATGCCGAATTTTGAAAAGAAACCTTTTGAAGAAATGCAATAAAATTCTCATATTTATTATTGAAGCTTGGCATAAAGCGAATGTTATACTCATGGATTAAATTTGATCTTAAGACAATATGATATACTAAAGTGAATTATTTATACTCCGTGTCAATGATTTTAGCTTGCTTATATTATTTGTTTTATCGTTATCAATCCGTCTGATAATATGCACAACTTGAATTCAGTACTTTATTTGATGTATCTTCGAAGTTTAATTTAACTTCACTCGATATTTTTTTCATTATTACAAATCAAAMCTTGACTATCTCATCAGTCATTAGAGTAAATTAATATTCATTTGTCGCAATGTTTTCATTCCTTGGGTGGTGACCGTAACTTGTTTTGATAAAATTATGGTAATGCATACAAAACTGTACGGATATTGATAAAAAAAACACCAGGTGAACGAAACTTAGCATGGGAGATCTGAACTACGGCAGTATATATAGTGCCTTCCAGCTTCCAGAATGCTCCGCGCCCTATTTTCATATTTCATTTGTCGCTTTGTTAAAGAAATAATAAGCAGTAATATTATTACGGGAAATTTAAAAGGAGGTCGCTTACGGGATATGGTCGTTTTCGAGAGTGGTCGTTCAAAGAGAGTCAACTGTATTGCAAACTCTTAAAACCCTGAAAAGCTTAGTCCTGTATACATTGAACTGAATTCCTTATCTAATTCACGCTATATAGACATAGACAGACAAATACAGATACCCGTGTTATAGTACATTCAACAAAATAATACATTCTGATTGGTCGAGAGGAGTACAATTACAGCGTTAATTGTACTCMTTAATTAAGTTGAATGTACTATAAACAAAAAATCGCACAACCTCTCGTCAAGGTCGTGCGATTTCCTATACAAATAGATACTCTCTCTAATTTCATTGTCTTCGTTTTTGTCTGTTTGACTACACGCACTTTAATAGTCAGATCGCGTTCAAGGACTAAATGACTTAGCTCTAGTGTTTTTCAGTCATTTTGCATGTTTTTCATTATTCATGCCATATTTACCTTATAGTTAGTCTTCTTAGCTTCACCCTTTCTTCCGTGGAGGAAATTTGAAAAAAAAAAACGAAGCTCCAACTGGGAGAGATATTACCTTTTCTAGCTTTTGCCTTTAGAAAAAATTCTGCATTTGATGATTTTTTTTTTCAGAAAGCCAAAATGTCCTCTGGACAATGAGTCCTTGAGTTCACAGCAAGTAAGTCAGCACTACAGTCAAAGTGCTTTTTTCATTGTTTAATGCACTAATGA